TGAGTCACCTTTAAAAACGATGGACTGAAGCCTGGACGTAGTTTACAAGTTCGGATCTCACTACGATTGTGAATACTGTGGTGAACATATCAGTATGCAACTTGGCAAATATCCATCTTTACGCTCATATAGTTGTGAACTCTCTAGCTGCGACCACAATGAAGTGGGCATTGATCTTAAGATCATGGCTTATTGTTACCCACAGATCATTGTGAGACCGGACTAAAGGCACCGACTCTCCACTTATGCTGTACCTATTTACCTATGTATCCCCAATGTGCATGTAGACACACTTGGCCTCGTTGATGGGCATCAGTCATTTTTTAGACCAGATAATCAGGACATCTAAGTCCTCCTAAATTGCACATGCATCTGCATCTCCCGTTATTTCTTGCCAAAACTTTATATCATCAGCGTAAAGTAGCATCGGAGACTCAACTATACTTGAGAGTTCATTTACATACAGTATAAAAAGTAAAGGATCTAGGACAGAGCCTTGAGGTACTCCACTATATACTTGTTTTCAGGGGAATCATTCTGAGTTTACTCTCATTTTCTACCACTCACTATGAAATCCTTGACTCACTTTAGGCGTCTGGCGATTCCTGGATTTTCCAGTCTTAAAAGGAGTCTGTTATTCAGCACCTTATCAAATACTTTTCTAAAGTCTACGGCGACAACGTCCACTGATTCTCTATTATTTAGAAACTCTGACCATTTCTCTCTCGCTATAAGGAGGTTTATTGCGCAAGATAATCCTTTCCTGAAACCATGTTATTCGCTGCTAAACAAGTTGTTGGTTTCAATGAATGTCATTATGGCCCTTTTGATTATTCTTCCCAGCATTTTAACTGCGACACCAACGAAGCTGACATATCTGTAGTTTGATGAAATCTGTCTTGATCCTACCTTATGAATCGGAGCAACGATTGAATCCTTACAGTCAATAAGTAACTCGCCTCGGTCAACTGACATATTGTATTTGGGTCTAGTCCTTCGTTTAGAGGAGGCTCTTGAGTGAAGACTATCCAGAAATAGTCCGCCATGGCCTTTGTTTTGTCCTGAATTTCCTCTTTCATTTGATGCACTCTCGTAAATAGGTTGAGAATCCAATGGTGCGTTCCCGTTCGGTGATTTATGTACGAGAAAAGTCACTTCGGCTGCTTGATTACAAACTGTGTCAACCGCTATTCTTATTTTCCCGGAGCTGTCCAGATTAGGATTATATACTTACTTCGGACGGAACTTTCGCGTCCCATTGTATTCGTTGTGTCAAAGCTGATGGTGATGTCCCAACATTTTTTGGTCTTAGTAAATATTGAGTATCTCGGTTTATCCAGAGATGGCCGTGCTTTTTGTTCTTTGGGACTGTCCAGGGTATAAATGGTTGAGTTATTTGGTTGTATAACTGCTGTGAGTCCAAGCCTCCTCTACTGATCCACCGGAGTCGATTTCCCCGTTTTCAGTCGAGGGTGATGAGTTAATCACCTTGATGTCTGCTTTCCATATATTAGGACTGACTGGCGCAACTGCTTGGCAAACTATATTAACCGTGAACTTGAATAAGATGACCGCATGATCAATTCTCGATATAGGTTGGAGGATCGTCATTTGCATGACATCATTACCGTGGGTGAAGACTAAATTCAAGACAGACGAGGAGTTTTGATAGTCATATCTGGTGAGATCCCGTGTGTTGAGATAAAGCCGGAGCAATTGTAGTTTCTAACAATTTGTAATCAAATGATGGTTGTGATGACCCTACTTCTAAGTTTTCCCAACTTGCAGTGTGCATTGAAGTCACCTACCATAAGGCTTTTACATATGTTTGATCAGTATATAAGTTTATTTAGGAGTAAGTCATCCACTACAGACAAGATTCCGTAAGGATTAGTCGTGCACAGACCAAATCACGACACTACGGATCATCGTTGAGCAATAAATTGAATGGAATTCGTCACCATACATCAACTTCCCTGATTATGAGAAAGCATTTGACAGTGTGTATAGGAGAGCATTATGGAGTACCTGAGAAAATGGTCAATATCATACGGAATTCATACGATGAACTACACTGCAAAGCTGTGCATGGAGGACAGCTGCATTCCAAGTGAGGACCGAAGTCAGACATGACTGCTTCCTATCTCTTTCTCTTTCTTTTGGTGGACGACTTGATTATGAAAACCTCCACACCTGAAGGAGCAGCACAGAATACAATGAACAGCTCAGAACCAATTAGACGATTTGGACTTTGCAGATGACCTGGCCCTTCTATCCCATACACACGAAAAAATGCTGATGAAGATAACCAACCCAATCACACTTGATGGCGAAACTCTGGAACATGTAGAAACCTTCATATACCTGGGAAGCATCATCGACGAACAAAGAGGATCAGATGCAGACGTGAAGGCGAGGAATGGCAAAGCAAGGGCCACATTCCTACAATTGAAGAACTTATGGAACTCGAAACAACTACCAATCAATATCAAAGTCAGGATCTTCAAAACGAACGTCAAGACAGTCCTACTGTACGGAGCTGAAACTTCGAGAACTACTATAACCATCATCAAAAAGGTACAAGTATTTATAAACAGCTGTCTACGCAAGATACTTAATGTCCGTTGGTCGGATACCATGAGCAGCATCCTACTGTGAGAGAGAACAAACCAGCTTCCATCTGAAGAGGAAATTAGGAAAGGACGTTAGAAGTGGATAGGATATATATTGCATCAAGAGGCAAGTGCTAACTTGGAATCCTGAAGGGAAGCGGAAAAGAGGAAGGCAAAAGAACACATTACGTCGGGAAATAGAAGCAGATATGAAAAGGATGAATATCAACTGGAAACAACTGGAGAGGATTGCCCGGGACATGGTTGGATGGAGAATGCTGGTGAGCAGCCCATGTTCCTTCACGAGGAGTAACAGGCGTAAGTAAGTTTCTGAATAGCTCTGAATATATAATTGGGATGACTACAAGTTATGTAAGGGAACTGCTGTAAGTTTTCTGACCATTAACAGGATCTTTTGATAGTTTAGCAGTTGTAGACGGACACCAGTAAGTCTGTCGAAGTTTTAAAACCTGACGAAGGTTAAATATTAGATCGGCACACCTATGACCAGACCAGAAACTTGGATGCATTTTCAAGGTTTTCTATCCCCTAACTTGATTCAAATTTCCGATAATCATAAAAGCTCGGACTCTAGTTTCATCCAGTTGTAATTACCATAAGATGATTCCTGTCTGTATTTGTAGTATGAAATAATGAGGTGTTAGACTATTCAAAAGTAATTACCCAAAATCTAATAATAAGCTTAATCAGTCCGAGTTACGATCTTGGACAAACAGTATGATTAGCTCGTTTGAACAACGTATTAGATGTGCACTTCCCACTAATAAATTCACTATTGAACACTTGAATTTCACATTTATAAGGATATATGATATTACCTTAGCAGTTCATTAATAACATTTCAAACCTTTCTAGGAATTAAAGCCAACATTATTACATAAAGTAAAATTTCGGCATCGGTACATAAAAAGCTACATCTCCAGGAACATCTTCACTTCATTAAAAAATAAGAAACATCAAATTAGTGGGTTAGTGTTCATTGATTTAATAAATATCCATGTGTGGTCATATTTTAGCTTCCTATATTCAGTGACATGTTAGATGAGTATATATTATTTAGTTTAGAAGACTGTTAAACTAGAAACTCATGGGAAAACTGTAACAGATGATTGAGTGGTTTTAGATTCTAACTTATACTTTTTATTTAAGGGTTTAACTTTATTAGCTTGATTTATAATCTAAAAATATTTAATAAAATAGGCCACTGAAGAAACTGACAAAGGAATGTAGTTCAAGAAGATTAATCCGAAAGTTTATAACTGACTCGTTTTTGTTGTTCTGGATTACACATTATTATTCCAGTGAGTCAAGTAACAATTAATTTTTATTTGTAAAGTTTTGGCTAAAATAGAAGGCTTAAAATTATAATCATTTGATCAAATTAATTATGAGACAACTCTTACAGAGAAACCTGCATGACGAGAAATGTTCTTCAGTTGTATTTTGAATGCCTCTGAAGTGAAGATATTCCGTCTAAGATAAGCGTATGGACAGTTTGGATTTGAGCAAGTAGATACACCATCTGTTTTATCCTCAAAGCTATTATTTTCTGTAGATATATCAGTTTTTGAATTGTTCATACAATCACATGTAAGTGTAGATGTATTTACTGGTGAAAGTTTATCAGTTTCGGTATTACTTTCCATTACTATTCAAATTTCTACAAAATTATATAGACCACATATATAAAACAGATTATCACAAAACATTTTTTTACATTAATAAATATTGTTCAATCAATCATCATACTCCAGTCCACCAAGACAACTAACAATAAAAAACGATGTATTTCAGTAATCATCTGGAAATTGATGGACTATGTCAAAAGATGCAATAGTCTTAACAGATTATTGGCTGAACGTCAGTTGATAAGGTAAGGATTCAAACCTATAAAACAAAATTAGTTACTTATTTAATTTAGAAATACTATTTTAAATCATAGCACTTCAAAACCAGTGGTTCTCAATAAAGCAACAATGTGACTAGAAACCAGGAGAACCTGAACGATTTTTTTGAAACGTTATCATATGGTTATTGACACAAGCTATGTGCTTTAGGGGAAATTATACTCACTAGTCTTATGTGAAAAAGGTACTTTTTCTACAAAAATAACGATGAGTGCATATTGTCAGGATAAGATGCATGTTTACGGAAGATTTACTGAAAGAATTAAAGAAACTTATATCACGAACTTTATAGTGTATAAGGGCTTCATAATTTTGATATAACTTCATTTCTCCTGTATTGGATATGGAAGGTGAGTTCCTAACGGCTTGATTACTATAAATATTTACATTGTTGAAGGTGAACACAATATCACACACTTCAAACCATAAGAAAATAAATAGACTGAAAAAAACGCAAATCTTCCTGAAAATAAACTAAATGAAATTCATATTTCAAACAAACATGTATCATAAGGTACTAACCGACTAGTAATATTTTATTAGGTATACAGAAATTAATTTACTGAAATACTCGGGTGAAACTATAAAAAACAGAAAAGCAATATTTAACTATGTTTAGCAGTAGTGTTTTGATGGGTAATGACAGTCGATTTTCAACCACTACGTTACTGATTTACACAAAGTTCTGCTTACTTCGATCTGAGCAACTGGGTAGGATTATTAACTCACAGAAAGCAGTGGTACAGAGCCAAGTACATAGACTTCTACTACGTTATTGAGTTACATATATTAACAAAATCTAATAAGTTACATTCATTAGTTTATAGTTTGCGTTACATTTCAAGCGTGTGATGTAATAAATTCATATGAATTAATAATCATTACCTAAATGTTTATTGTAACTACTAATTTAGTGCTTATGTGGTTTTTCTAGTCCTAATTTCGGTACTGAAACCTACTGTTATGCCATTGAATTCGGTTAAGGGGATACGGTTGGGAATAAAACGATCTACTGTATACTAACTCTTTCACAATACTATATTCAATGACCAGACAAAATGTAAGTCTATACATAGTATTGTGGGTGAATGGACAGTATTATTAACCCCGATGGACTACAAAAAAAAGAATCCCAATCGACTTATCACATCAGATAATAAAACAAACACTTAAAGTTTACATACAGACACAAAAGCGGGAAGATTTTTCTGGATAAAAACGTGTTTATTCGTAAAAAAAAATACATCCCATTAAAAACACAAAAATTGACGTTGTATTTCTCCTAACAAAACTGAAGCAGCTGATAAAACATTCAGGCTGTTTATTCTATCTGCAGATGGGATAACAAGTCGAGAACCACCGGTAAGATGAACTAAATGAAAAGCTTCCGGAGAAACACCATGAACTTCGGATCCAATAACAACAGCTAAACGACAATCATGTTCCGCAGATTTATAATCGGAAGGAATATAGTTTACTGCAAAATGTGGGATAGTTTGTACAGGTAAGCGATATGCGGAATCTGTTGACTCAGGAGTAAGAAAATCAACAGCTTCACACTCGACAGATATTTTGCACCCGTTAATATATTGTGACTGATGATTCTAGAAATAAAAAGAATCATGATTACAGAAAAATGTATCTGAATAATAGGAATTATAGAGCTAAATATTAAACACTGTTAACTACTAAAGGAGAGTCAGAATTTTTGGATAAAAATCAAAGCAATATTACGAAAAAATCAGATGAAGACCACTACTTTGAAAATACTCTAAAGGATTATGAGTGCCTAAATTAGCTTATGAATTGTTTCATACCTACAATAAAAGTGTGGTAGAAATAATAAAAAAAACCTCGAAAATTAAATAACTCAAAAGATATAATACAATAATGAGTTATTACAAGACCATAAATTGTGTATAGATTTGGGTGAACAAATATTTTGAGGGAATATATATGAATATAACTGGTTAAGTCCTGTTTTTTTTTACTAATCCAATAGCAGTACCTATATCCCCAAATGCCCTGGTATGGCCGAGAGTGAGGAAAGTCCGCTCTCCCTCTCGAAATACTCTCACATGGCCAAGCGTACACAGCCTCTGCCAGGGAAGTCCTACTCACTGCATGCTCGCACCACGGGTGTTGTTTACGAAAATGAGAGGACGAAAAGCGAATGTCCGGCGCTATAACCGGATCCCAATTCAATGGTGCACATGGGCTCCAGTATCCTGAAGAAACAAATGGCGTATGAACCAATTTTTGGTCACCGGCTTCCATTGACTGCATCTCCTCACGATGCTCCACTGCCTTGTGGATCAGATCTTCAGGTCAAAGGCTCGGGGTGTGGCCCCCTAAGAAAACCACCTGCTTCGGTTTGGGCACTCGGGCAGTATCACAGCCCTTACACATATCAAATGAGATCTGTGTGGCGCATATGTATTTGGTGCCTTCTTGTACCGATATCTATGTGTTAAAATAAGTAAATAAATAATAAATATCCATGAGCTATATGTAAAAACTTAATTTTAGAAATTAACATATAAAATGAACTATTCAGTCACAGTTAAATCTCTTAATTCATCGATCGCATTGTACGTCTTGGTCAAAAGACTAGCCAAATTAGTTTTCCATGAGCTTAATTAACATTTGAGCAGGTTCATGACAGTATTTCTGGCTCTAATGTTAAGAAAATTGGATTTGTCAATTAGTGATAAGCGACCTAAAACCTAGCATATATCTGCATCAGTTCACGATGGCACACCACAACAACAAAGATGAAATTATCAATGTGAATACTAAAGTTGTAGGGGTAGTACTCTCATTAGCAGTAAAAATTATTAACCACAAAGAATATGATTAGAGGAGAAAGAAGTTACTGTATGAACTGGTGTTCGTAGTATATATAATTCTTGATGTTAAAGGCTTATATAATAATAAGTATCAAAGTTGAAGAAATCATAGAAACTTCAGCAGTCAATATAAAGGACAAAAAAATAGATGGATCACGGAGCCTCACTAAAGTTGAAGTAGCAACACAGGAAATACTACAAAACTATAACCTCGCGATATATTAAACTCAAAAACTGATATTTATCCAATTTTTACAATTTTTACAATAATATTTACTATGTAACATGATACGAGTGTTAGTGAAAGAGTGCTATCACCTTGAGCGGTTGTAATAATTAATAATTCATACAGTAAAAATGCACAGGTTCATGGGCTCAGACTTCAGTTATAGTTTAATAGTCTGGTAATACTACACCTGCCTGCTCAATCACAGCTAGGTTGATCAGAGCTCAAACCTTCTCCCTTAGTTGTTGGACGTTCAGTGTTTTAACTACCACTTCGGGTAGCTGCGTGAAAGATTTTGACTTAACGATTTGCCAACTAGGGTTAATATGATTATATATACACATATACTGGTGAGTATTTATGCATATACTCACTTGTATGCAGTCCAACTTATAAGATTCGAAAATGTGAACAAGAAATAGTTAATAATGGATAGAGGTCAACTCACAGTTTGGTCTTTTTTCCATGCGGATTCGATTAATTTATCAGTCAAGAGTGGTTCAGGGTCGGCTACAAATACTTTAACATGAGAAGACGAACCATCACGTATTCCAAAATATCGACTAATATCGGTCCAGCTTAGTCCTTGATAGACAGGTATGCGGAAATGACCAGACATTCCTGCTCGTATCACTTTTGTGTTCCAAATATCGACACTGCCTGAAGCGAAAAGACTAAACATAATCAAACTGTTGAATACCGATGGATAATGATATCCTTAAGTTTGTAATGAACTTAGTATATCAATTACCCTAATAACCGTTATTAAATAAATCCCAACGGTGTATTAATTCAGAAGACAACACGAAGCACTGCCCACAGTTTATTATCGAATAGCACAGATCACAAGCACCATAAGTGAATTCGAGCAGAAAAGCTAATGCTAATATATATATATATATATATATATATATATATATATATATATATATATATATGAAAGCAAATAATTCACCGAGAGATTTGAGCAACTAACATCTAAGCTAAAGAGAGGGACATATGTATATGCTACCACATATGATCAAGCATACATGTCCGTACAGACATGATAAAATACTAAAACAAAGATATAGACAAATTATTACTGTTAGAATAGTACTGTTAAATAAGTTAACTAAACGGCTTGACAAACCTAGACGCAAACAAACTTAAGTGTAGGAGAGGTTCTATAAACTAAATATATTTTTTAACATTTGTGTGGAGAAAATACAAAGACCAATAAGTAGCAGTGGAAGACAAGATTAAGATACTGAAATCCTGGTTGACTAACACGTCAGTAATCATCAACGTAAGACATGACGCAATTGTGCATTAGTCTAAGAATTTCGATATCAGAGCCCCTGTGTATATGTTGGTCATGTGACTTCATCGAGTTGCGTACCAATGACTATAGGTTAACCATATATCACTTATTTATATTTAATTATATCGCAAAATAATGGTTGCAATCACTCATGAGGTGGAAAAGAAACTGAGACTAACAGGACATCTACAAGCCTGGATTGAAAATTTTCATCCACCGAATAGGCTCACTGATAAATAAGAACGCACATCGACACTAGTTATCAAGTACTGTTTAAGCTATATGAAAAGTTGTGGAAAAACAGGAAGTAAGCTGAGACATATTACTTCAAGATTGCTGGATTCAGATCATAATACTTGAAATTAGTCACTGTGGTATTAATATGCCTATCTTTTCACCCTATAATATATAATAAACGTCCATACCTCATGCAATTATTTATTAGATTGTGAATAATTCACCTTATCTTTTTACTACTTTTATCACTGACAATATCAACATCAGGATTATATTTCTAACTTGTCTTATTTAATTCCCAGAGCTCTTACAGAACATGTTTAGGACAAAGCATCCGTTTATACTTTTGTTCACCTCATTTTAAGAAATGAATTAGGATTGTTAAGTATGAGAAATATTTAAGAATGGCAAAAATACTGAGGGATTGTTAAGTAAATGCTTAAATATTGATTAGGTCATAGTTTCACAATATATTGGTCTCAAAAAAGGGACTTCGACGACAATCGTTACATTATACTTCAAAGGAAATCTGTTAATATGATTGAGCACCCTTAAGTTGTGCAATTATTTTGTTAATAAAACTCGTTAAATTCAATTTAAAACCTTTACAGGAGTGATTTGTTGGACCAACGAATAAATGTTTGTATGGAGCGAATGAAAGTTTACTCTGAATTAACATATTGGAAAAATCAAAGATACTGAACACTATACGAATTATAACTAACCTCAGATCAAAAGATGAAACAAACCAAGCAAATATATTTTTTAAGAGTTGAAAACTAATAAAATGCTTATCACTAGATGAAAAGTACAAATCATATCAAAAAGAATACTGAGTGATGTAAAATACAAATGAAAATCTACTAAATGTAATGAATACCTTTGGTCACCAAAATAGAATTCAAACCAAAACATGCACCAGAACGGATCAAACTGCCCATATTTCCAGGATCGTTAATTCGGTCAAGTATGAGAGTAACAGGTAAATGAAACTTCGCATTCTTTTCCTTGAAACAGTTTTGTTGTGGTAATTCAAAAAGGGCTGAAACAAGAAGAGATAAATAGTTTGCATCATAATTTGTAGACAAATTCAAGTTTAACCCCCCCCCAAAAAGAATAGGCCAACGATCTACTGAGAGATTAAAAAGAGAAATCTAATCAATCAAAATTGACAGAAAACTATATTTACGCTTACTCATGGCAGAGAACCATCTAAAATGGTAGAAATTTACGTATCTGGGATTTTGCTTATTTACTCACACCATTAGACCTTGATTCATAAGTCTGCTGATAGCACTGTGGTAGACGAGATTAGATTAATTTGGGAAAACTTTAGAAATTATGCTAAACTAGGTCACTATTCATCCCACCTTTGCTCTCCAGGGTGATGTTCAACGACGGTTCCAGAAAATTGTTATTTGCGGAAGATTTTTTAAGCCGAACACGGAGTGTTCGGGACTAACGGAGAATGTCATTCGACCAATTATGACGCCTTAAAACAGAATCCCTGGTGATTTGGAGGTACTTCATGTGCGTTATGAGTGGCAATTATACCACACGTTGTTTCCAATACTGCGAGCGACTGAGAGAAATGGTTAACTTGTAACAATGAACTAAGTAATTGATGTCTGGGAGAGAATGATAATGATTGGTTGTTTGCTAAGTCAGACTAGTATATAACCTGACAGGTACTAGATGAATTATATGTTATCTTACCTTTATTATTACTATGAATGTTGTCGGTTTTTGGTGTGGAAATATATTTACGTTCTAGTCAGGCTAATCATGTATTCTTGATCTGAGTTGTTTTGAAGTCCTGTAGAATAGACACTGGGAGGAAATCTAGTTTAGACATTCGTGTAAAGCAAATTAACGTCCCATTCGTGTAGACGTGAAAACTTTGCGTTATAAAAGCAATGGGATGACGGTTTTTCTGGCTTAGCACATGTCAGGTCGCCAAAAAAACCTTGAAAGTCTTAGAGTTCCAGCTTCCAAGAGGTTTGAGATGTTATCAAACATAGCTCGAAATAGTAGCTGATGGTAAACCTGCAGCAGAATACTGTTCCACTCTTGAAAAAGATTTACCTTTTAACTAGATAGAAATTATCATAATTATATGTGCATTAAAATCTTATCTTGTACTATTTTCAATTTGCCCCCAAATGCCCTGGTATGGCCGAGAACGGGGAGGGTTCGCCCTCCCTCTCGAAATACTCTCACATGGCCAAGCGTACACAGCCTCTGCCAGGGAAGTCCTACTCACTGCATGCTCGCACCACGGGTGTTGTTTACGAAAATGAGAGGACGAAAAGCGAATGTCCGGCGCTATAACCGGATCCCAATTCAATGGTGCACATGGGCTCCAGTATCCTGAAGAAACAAATGGCGTATGAACCAATTTTTGGTCACCGGCTTCCATTGACTGCATCTCCTCACGATGCTCCACTGCCTTGTGGATCAGATCTTCAGGTCAAAGGCTCGGGGTGTGGCCCCCTAAGAAAACCACCTGCTTCGGTTTGGGCACCCGGGAAGTATCTCAGTCCACGCACTAAAATCATGATGAACTATTTGCTTATGGAAAATATTCCTTTCTCTCTGATTAACATTGAAATGACTCGTACTATTATTATTATTATCATTATTATTTTACCACGTCATTTATTCACCCTCTCTTATTCCTACTTTATGTATTCGTTTCGACCTAGACAGAAGCTCGCCTATGGTGAAAATTCAGCTTTATTTAAACGTTCTCGAGTCACTGCCTGGTTGAAAATTGTATGTTACCACCGAATACGAGTACTGAAGCAGTTTTTCTGAAACCACGTGCACCATTCAAACTGGCTGCCTTCAACGTTCGCACACTTATGCAGGTCGGACAACAGATAGGACTGGCTATGTCTTTGGAAAGTCTTAATATTGATGTGTGTTGTCTATCCGAGACCCGTATTCAAGACTCTGGTGAAGTACTACAAGTTCGCTCTCCATCTGTCGCTTCAAAAAGCTTGTTTTATGTGCGTTTATCCGGGGACCCTGTGGCATCTTCATCTGGTCTTGCTGGCGTTGGTGTCGCACTAAGCGCTAGAGCTGAGGCAGCACTAGTCGACTGGATCCCCATTAACAGTCGGTTATGTGCTGTTAGATTAGAAAGTTCCATCAAAGTGAGAAGAAATAGGCGTGAGAAACGATGTCTTTTCGTCGTCTCCGCCTATGCCCCGACAGATTGCAGCCCGGATGCAATCAAGGATGAGTTCTACCACCAGTTAACTGTTCTTCTCCAGAAAGTGCGTTCGACAGATATTGTAGTACTAGCCGGAGACTTGAATGCTCAGGTCGGGCGTCTAGGCACAGAAGAGAGTCGTTTAGGTGGCCGATGGGGACTCGTTGATCGCAGGACAGATAACGGGGAACGTCTACTGCAACTATGCATAGACCACAACCTGTTTCTGGCTAGCACTAACTTTCGGCACAGTCATCGCCGATGTGCCACCTGGCGTCCTCCTTCTGCATCTCTAGTCTGGACTCAGATTGATCACATCGCGATCAGCTACCGCTGGCGTGGTTGTGTACAAGACTGCCGCTTATTTTGGAGTACCTATCTGGAATCTGATCATGCTCTTGTCTGCGCCAATCTTACCTTACTTTTCAGTGGACAACGAAGTGACCGCCACCAAAGGATTGATGTTAGCAAGCTGGCTGCAACTTCTGTTGCTAGTAAGTACCGAACCGAGCTAGCTTCTAGGCTAGCTGCTATTCCACCGAAAAGTATAGATGAGCATTGGTTGCAATTACATGACGCCATGAAAATGGCGGGTCAAGTCTGTTGTGGGTTCGCGAAACGTCCCGCTTACAAGCACTGGGTTTCTTCTGGTTCCTTACAACTCATTGAAGCCCGTCGGTCTACTCCGGGTGACCGTGAGTTTGACTACAGACGAAGGATGTTACGTAATGAAATCGTGCAAGGCTTGCGTAAGGACCGTGAAGCCTGGTGGTCGGAGCATGCCAGTGAGTTGGAAGCAGCAGCTGCATCTGGTAATTACCGGAAGCTCTTCCAACTCATCCGAGCCACTGGCAGCAAGAAGTCTGGTGTGAGCGAAACAATCTGTGAGGATGACGGAACGCCAATCACTAACATCCATCGACGTCTTGGACGATGGGCAGAATTCTTTGAAGGGCAGTTCAACTGGCCTGCTGCTCCGGCAACATCGGTCAGGCTGTCCTGCCCTCCATGGCCGATGACGACTGATCCACCAAATGAGGCGGAAGTCCGCAAGGAACTCCAACTCTTGAAACGTTACAAATCACCGGGCCCAGACGGCTCTTTTTAAAGATGGTGGTGACTTACTGACTAAGGGACTGGCGACGTTGTTTACAAAGGTCTGAGAACTAGAGTGTGTACCAACGTCATGGAATGAGTCGATAGTTGTCCCTATCTTTAAAATGGGTTCACGTCGTTCCTGTAACAACTATCGGGGGATAAGTCTACTTCCAATTGCGTCCAAGCTATTGGCTTCCGTCATACTTCGTAGGTTGTTCAGAACCCGAGAAGGATTGACTCGCGAGGAGCAGGCTGGGTTTCGTTCTGGTCGAGGATGTATTGATCATATCTTCACCCTCCGCCAAATGTTAGAACACCGCCATACTTATCAAAGGCCAACAATCGTAGTGTTTCTTGATATCAGGGCTGCCTTCGATTCGTTGGACAGAACTGTTCTCTGGGATTGTCTGTTGAAGAAGGGTGTGCCTGAGAAGTTTATTAACATCCTAAAAGCCCTATACACAAACACCTCAGGCAGAGCGAGGGCATACAACCACCTTTCTCCACTATTCCATTCAAGCAGTGGAGTTAGGCAGGGTTGCTCAATCTCACCATTCCTCTCCAACTTTGCCATCGATGACATTCTGGAAACAGCTCTGATGGATGTAAGTAATGGTGGTGTGGATCTGTTGTCTGCAGAAAGACTTCTCGATCTTGAGTATGCGGATGATATTGTCTTACTGTGCGAGAATGCCCAAGCCATGCAATCCGCACTTAATCAGTTGGCAATCAATGTCCGTAGGTATGGTATGTGCTTCGCACCTTCGAAGTGCAAAGTACTCCTACAAGACTGGCAGGATTCTAATCCTGTACTCACTCTGGACGGTGAGCAGATAGAAGTGGTCGAGAAGTTCGTGTATCTAGGTAGCTGCATAAGTGCTGGTGGTGGCGTGAGTGATGAGATCAATGCACGTATAGTGAAAACCAGAGCGGCTTATGCCAATCTGGGCCACCTTTGGCGCCTTCGTGATGCTAGTCTGGCTGTAAAAGGTCGGATCTACAACGCGACGGTGAGAGCAGTTTTGCTCTATGCTTGTGAAACCTGGCCTCCAAGTTGAGGATGTTAGACAACTGTCTGTGTTCGATCATCGTTGTCTCCGAAGGATTGCTGGCATTCAGTGGCAACACCATGTCAGTAATGCAGAGGTCCGGCATCGTGTGTTCGGTCACAGAGACGATAATGAAATTGGTGTCACCATCTTGAAACACCGACTTCGGTGGCTTGGACATGTTCTAGGAATGTCGTCCCAGAGAATTCCACGTCGTGCATTATTTGCAGACACTGGGACTGGTTGAAAAAGGCGGAGAGGTGGTCAGTGTATGACATGGTGTCGTGGTATGAGAGAAAGCTGAAAAGGGTTGGCTTCTGTCGGTCTTTCACGACTCCCTGGCTTGGGTCCGAGAGATGGTGCGACACAGTGGCTAGAGACGTTATCAGATATGGCTCAGAATAGAAGCAAATGGCGATCCTGCTGTAACCTTCTTTTACTTTCTTCATAAAAAGTGGTTGTATCTTCCTTAAGTGAAAGATTTCTTCTGATTGTACCTTTCCGTTTCCCCCACCATTGTTCTCTCTCTCTTTTTTCTAATTCCCCACGTTCATTACTTTTTTTTCTCGTCTTCAAATTATCATTGTTTTGTGTGGCGCATATATATTTGGTGCCCCCCTGGACCAATATTTATGTGTTCAAATAAATAAATCTTGTACTATTTTCATCATTTTTATTTGATGACTTCCCTTTTTTGCTTCTACAAGACATCCCATTTTTGTGGAGTATTTCTTGATGTCCTCTCGTACCAAGCTATTTCTGTATTGTAAATAAATGAGAGGGTTAATTCAGAAGTACATAAACCTTATGAAGGCTCTTTAATCGAACACTACTAGTCGAGTCAGAGCTTATGGCGAACTGTCATCTGCTTTTGCAACCTCAAGTGGTGTCCATCAAGGCTGTCCACTTTCTCCATTTTCGTTTAACTTCTTTATAGATCTACTGATGTAAATAACGCTCTTATCGACTAAATTCTCGGGTATTGATCTCCTACCAGGAGGTTCACTTATCGACTTAGAATACGCAGATGACATAGTCCTGTTTGGTGAAGACGCTGATAAAATGCAGAGTATTTTGGTAGCACTGAGCAACAATGCCAGAATGTTTGGGATACGTTTCTCTCCCTCTAAATGCAAATTGTTGTTTCAGGACTGGACTGCGTCAATAACTGAACTAAGGATAGGGAGTAAAGTAGTCGAACGCGTTGACAACTTCACTTATCTTGGAAGTCTGATCAGCCTTAATGGGTTGGTGTCTGACGAAATCTCAGCACGGATTCGAAAGGCTCATTTGGCTTTTGACAAGCTACGTCACCTATGGCGAAGGCGAGATATCCGTCCATCAGTTAAGGGACGACTATACTGTGCAGTAATCTGTTCTGTTTTACTCTACGGCTGAGAAACGTGACTATTAGGAGTAGAGGACACCCGTAAGTTAATAGTATTTGATCACAGATGTCCTAGAAATATTGCTCACGTCTGCTGGGATCATCGGGTAAGTAATAGTGAGGTTAGACGCAAGGTATTAGGGAATGATGGTAAATCAGTTTATCAGGTTGTGAATCTTCATCGACTGAGATGGTTGGGCCACGTGTTACGTATACCTGAACACTGATTACCACGACGTGCAATGCTAACCGGTGTTGGGGATGGATGGAAGAAAGTTAGGGTCGGTCAAACCAAAACGTGGCATTAGTGCTTGAAGACACTAACTTGTAGTCTGAGCCATATTGGTAGATGCAGACTACCTGGTTGGGGTCCGCGTGACTATCGTAACCAATGGTTGGAGACTCTTGGTGACATGGCCCAGAATCGATCACAATGGAGTCGGTGCATATACTCTCTGTCTTTCCTTAAACTAAAAGATTAAAATCGCTTCATGTCTTCCTCTCTACGAACTAATTCTTTCTTTCTGTACTATATCCTTATATGCGTTCTTTCTTTTATATATTACCACTCCTATGAATCCGGTGTTCATCTTGTTGTGCTAATGCGGTATGGCAACTTGGACCGATGCATATATGTGCCTGGTCCTACGTTGCAGCTGACTGACTGACTAATTCAATACCAATGAATCGATATTTTTATATAAGCCAGTTCTGAAAACTTGAGCATAATATACTTAGGACAGCTTGCAAGTTCTAGAACAAGTGAAGATCAACTTATCAATAACCCGGGAGTTACGTGAAGGACTCAGATCTTTTACGACTTTAAATACTTTTATATTACCTTCAATACAGCCTTCTAAACAATATGTCATACATTTGAAATAATTGACACTTTTGATGTTCAGAATGTAAATGTTTGTTCTTTATTGATATCACTGATTGAAACGACAGAATGCCTTGTGTTCTACATCAACATTTTATTTAGCACAGAAGTCTGTTGACCGATAAAGTATATCAATATGATCGTCCTTAGAATAATCAATGAGCTTTATGTTCCATACTTGGTAGACAACCGCCGAACTTACACAAGTATCATAACAGAACAACCAACCACGTCAACTTGTATTTCCCAGTCATTATTTAATGGTAAAACCATACATGGCAACATAAACTAATGTGGAAGTCCCAAGCACACTGCAACATAAATTCTACACTTTAACAATAAATCATCTGGTTTACTTTTGTGATCTTTACAAAATCTCAGGAAAACTTAACAAACTATTCTTTTGAACATGAAATGAGAAAGTATAGGACCCATATCAACTAAACATTATGTTACAGTCTTCAAAGGTATAGATATATCTCTTGTAGATGTGCATTAAATTCGCAATATAAAAGACAAAAGTGTGATTGTAAACCAGAAACAAATCTACCTATTACTCCGGGAGGAGATTGAAGTGACGAGATTTGATCCATAACTCGATGATTAACATAGTATATACTTAATACATTGCTTAAATCACCGACTTTTTGTAGAACATCCTGTGAGGAAAAGAACAAAGATGTGGCTTTCGCCCCTGTTGCAAGTGCATCTGATATTAGTTTGCTTCCTTCTAGAATAATTGTAGGATATTTACAAGATTCATTTTTTCCAGAACCACCATGCAATAGTGATACCTTACTTTGGAGTATTACTTCTCTTAAAAGATAAATAAACAGTTGTTTTGCTTTTACCTGATTTTCAAATCATTTTCATTTAACTCAGGATAAAAATTTTTCTTTGTATTACAAACCGGTACATTTTCTGCACAATGAGTGTTAATGTTAACTTGACGTTTTCTATATTTCTTAACCTCTAAGGCTTTATTGGAAACTAGTATTTCATCTCCATAAAGAAAGCCACTAGATAGACCCCGGACACAATATATACTTGGGCGTGAAAATAAGTTATAAATACTTTTCATCAGAGGTTTGCTGTAACTACTTGAAGGTGTAAGAGATGATCTCACTTTGTGTGAGCCGCTGTCAATCAAAACAATGAGATTAACTGCAACAGCCTATAGAAATAAAACAAAACAATGAAATATCCGTTAGCTACCTTACCAACGAGAATGTTTAAATTATGCAATGAATAGAAGGACATCAGGAACTTTGTATTTCGTTCAAATGCTTACTATCCGACCGAGGTTCGTGTAATAAGCGTAATTAGTGATTGAAGACTTTGGATAGTATACTTGTAAACTGGTGACCTTAGCCTAGATATACCTAGTGTTTGTCTTCCAAAGGACTATGAGATTTAATATGACCTTATACTTCTAAGTCCTTGATCTCACTTACCATATACAAAATATGTATTTTGTTGGTGTTACTATCACTGCTAATACTGTTAACCCAACTTATTAACACATACAAAGACGATTGTTAGCCATGAATTACCATTCATCTTGACGTGCATCCGTACCCAAATAAAATGTAATAACAGTAAATTTGGTGAAACTATAGTTTATAAACAACCTTTGAGCGACAATAGAGCTTGATAATGTATACCTACTAACTAGGACTAAATGATCGTTATAAACCAGTGTGAGGAATTAGAATTATCATTTACAATTGATGGTTAGGAACTTAATTTAATGCTTTGATCACGAACTGACGACAGCTAAAGTGCCAAAACGATAATTAGCCAAATGTATGACTGAATGTATCTTATATCTGGTTGTTTCGTACATAGATTGTAGTCTCACCTAAATTTAATAAGATGTAGTCAATAACTGATCATTGTCCTTTTGAAGCTTCATGCACAACTGAGGGAAAACTAACACGTAGACAAATTAACAGGAATAGTGGAGATGATACTAACTATAGTAATGAATCAGAGGAGAAGTTACAACTAGATATGTGTTATACATACGTGCAACAAAAGAAAAACAGTGAATGTATTTACAATACCGCGACTGAATTGGATTCACTTCATACAGCCACAAACCACTGACTGAAAGTCTTAGATACATGATTCATGAAGCCTAAAAATCTTCATACCTCTTGTCACTATTTAAAGTCTGCATGGAAGCGATTGTAAAACAGAAGTTATCTTACATCAGGGATGTTTATAAAAGCGCGGCGACCTTGAACAATTCCTATGACCTCGGTCTTCAGTCCTCAGTAATAAGGATGGTAAGCTGGTGAACCTGTGTTAATCCCGACAGATAACCTTCTAGTGAATGTCCAGCCTCTCCTTGAAAATATTCACTGATGGGGCTGATACTCCTTGTTCGGGTATGGCTTTCCAGTCATCGACTTCTCGATGAGAAAACGGGACCCAACTTTATGTTTATTAGATCGGGATTTGTTAACCTTATCGCTACGACCTCTGAGATTGTTAGTGCTAGAAGGAGCAAAAAGACATATTAACACCCAAATCATAATTAAAGATACGAAACGCCAGAATAAGGTCACCTCGCGTCCTACAAAACGACAAGGAGAAAAGGTTTAGGAGTTTTAAACGCTCATCGTAAGGGAATTTAGAAAGACTTTTCACTATACGTTTTCCCATACGCTGAACACTCTCAAGTGAGTTGGTATCGTGTATCAGACATGAGCTTACAAAGGTGGGATACAAAATTCGAAACACTTCCACGTCAAAGCATTTGAGTGCTCGGCGTTGCAATAAGTACTTGTTTTCAAGTTAAAACTTATCATCATTCCTAAGTCCTTATGTTCTTGAACGCGTGGAAGAGATGTAACATCAACAATATAATGGTAACCACCACCGTGTCCGATGTGCATGAGCACACTCTTCCTAGAATTAACTTCAATGCCTAGAAACAACGCAGGTGCTCACAAGTAAAAAGTCTGTGTCTTAGCGTTTTTAAACAGGCTTCTGTTGCTAGTTTACGTGAGGCAATCATTTGCGAGAAACTTTGAATGCCTTGACAAGTCTGTCCAGAAATTTCTAACTTGCTAATGACGTACCATACCTAGAATACTGCATAAAAGTAATCACATGATATCTTATTAAGAGTGAGAAGGAAACGAAGCTTTTTCGATGATTGAACACTGTATTAGCGACAGAGAATTCACATTTTGTTGATGAAAAACTACAGACCGGTTAAATCTCAACTCTGATTATATGGCACGATACAAGGTGATCTCATTATGGCATTCCACATTTTAAATAACGATCATTTCATCGACACGTTTTACTTTTTCCCTCATGGATTTTCTACTTTTGAGAAGGTTACTATAGGCTTTCAAAACAACGGGTGAATGGTGAAATTGAAGAACAGTTAGAGATCTCATAGATCTACATAGAAATCCATGCTAAACTTATTGTTACACAGAAAATTCATCACCGTAAAAAAGGACTCTCTATTAACGACTTTGGTTGACCGAGTCCATTGGTCGAAGTTGGGACAAAGCAATCTAATCTGGTTCGAAACCCTTGTTGAGGTAAATATATATCCAAAACCAGTTGCTCTGTAAGTCTTCGACATTTGATGCTAACCACACTTGTTTTAATGGACTCACCTGGCAGAAGGTGCTGGGCACGCATCCGTACCAGATCACAAGTGGGAATGTCATGCTCAAATTCTCCTGCCACAGATAGCCAGTCACTCCTCCATATTTTGATAGCCTATCAAATTTAGCTTCGAACCTCCACACTTCTGACTTTTGATTACACTGGGTGTGCATGATTCAATTATAGAATGTTGTCAATCTCTAAATTCTTGTGGCATCTTCATTCTCAATCTTCCAGACATGTCCATATAGTGTATACCTAATGTAAGACAATTAAAATAACCCATAGTGTCATTGAATAAGAAAAAGAGAATTCAGCGAAGAAAATTTAAGGCGTACATTCGTATATATAGTTATATGGAAAATGTATGTCTATTGAAGGGTAGAAAAAATCGCATCACCAAAATGGATTCGAGGATAAATAACAAATGAAGCTACGTACTAATCAAGAAGTAAGTAAGAAAATCGTTTGTGGGTTAGATAACAGTCCAATTGACAGATATGAGGAAGAGAGACAAACTCAATGGTCATTATATTAAACTGAATAATAATCAAGAAAAGTTGTGTAAGGTAATAATAACAACTGATTTCAGTTTAAAATTCAATTCGGAGCTTGGCTGTGTAGAAAGTCTTATTCAATGATTTGGAAATCCGTTTATTTAGGATTTCAGCAGCCATGTCTCCTTTAAATTCCATATTCTTGAACAAGGTTTTCTTCGGTACTGTTGATACTTTCTCATGATGAATTCTAGGTGTTAAGTTGCTATCGACGAATCTAGGTGGATAACCGTTTCTTGTGGCAGTTTGTCGAAGTTGAATTAGTTCCTCATCTACTGTGTCAGTGGAACAAATTGGCTTGATCCTAGAGGATAACGAGTGAATTAAGTTTCTCTTTCTACTCAATAGGACCCGACTATGGAAATCAGTGTACTGCCCATTCGAAGTAGGTTTTCTATATATAGATCGCTGTGAAAAACCATCAGGCTTTCTTTTTAATCGGACGTCAAGAAAGTGAATTTCATTATTTGCCTCTTTTTCTAAAGTGAATTGAATTGAAGGGTGACAATTATTGAAACTTTTTGAAATTTCCATTAGGTCCATGTCTTCTTCACAAATAACGAAAGTATCATACATATATCTCTTATATGAATGAAAACTCTCAATTATTGGACGAAGTAAAAAGTTTTCTAGATTGGCCATGAAGCAGTCAGCCAAGAGAGGGCCCAATGAAGAACCTATTACATCGTAGAAGTTATTCTTTTATATAATGTTTAAGGATACATATATCAAGGTTGTCGTTTTCAATATAGTCACATAAAAAACAAACAGTTTCTGTGAGAGGAACATTTGTAAACAGCGAAGTGACATCTAATTAAATCATTTATTTATTAATTACGCTGATATTTTTAACTGACTCGACAAAGTCAAAGGAATGGAAAGAGTTATACTTCCAATGGTTAAGATCATGAGTCAGTTGAAGCTAGACCACCATGAAAAACCTGGAAGCACTGGACGGCCGTTTCGTTCTATTGGGGACTCTTCAGCAGTGCGCATCCACGACCTCGCCCCCTGAGAGATTCGAACCCAGGACCTACTGCCTTTGCGCGTGAGCACCTCACCACTAGACCACTGAGACGACATCCAACGATGTCAATGTCTAACTCCAATTAATGGATATGATTTTCAACAGGTCTTAAAATGTCAACTAACCATTTAGCAATCTCGTGATATGGAGAGTTGTTCATATCAAGTATAGGACGTAGAAGGACATTATTCTTACGAACTTTTATGAGTCCATATAGTCTTGAAACAACGGAACCAGAAGGTTTAAGATATTCAAAGAGGTCACGATTAATAATAGACTCATCTTTCATCTTCCTTAGTATTGTAATCAGCAACAATTCCGTTTTTTCTGTTGTGTCTTTTCGAACGGTTTCTTTAGAGAATTTTACAGGATCCGATAATATCGAAGATATTTTGGTAACGTAGCCAAGACGATCCATAAGGACAACCCCTGCACCCTCGTCTGGGTGACATAACACTAAGTCCTGATTTTTACAAAGATCATTTGATTGAGATTTATATTCTTTTGTGAGTAATTGACTAATTGTCGCTCTTCCTCATATCTGTCAATTGGACTGTTATCTAACCCACAAACGATTTTCTTACTTACTTCTTGATTAGTACGTAGCTTCATTTGTTATTTATCCTCGAATCCATTTTGGTGATGCGATTTTTTCTACCCTTCAATAGACATACATTTTCCATATAACTATATATACGAATGTACAGCTTAAATAAGTGAAAAATCTACAATTTTAGGGTTAGTTCTATTGTTACAGTGGTACCAATAACGAAGTAGACCATAATTTACATATCGTTTTGTTACATTCGTTTTTATTCGGAGCTATGTGGAACGATTATCTATCAACGACACATAGCGAAACCTAGGGATGAAATACAACTTTCATGGCTTTAAGTTTGTGAGGGACTAATCAACTGCGTTTCACTAGTATAAACCACTGTTCGGTGGGCGATGCTGTTTTCGGTTTCGAGGAACTGGAGACTCCTCGTAATTAAATGTTAAAATTCTCTTATTCTTCGGGATTTAACTTGTGGACATGGTTTAGGCAAACATATTTTCAACTTATTTCATTTTTACTTCGCTCGAGACTTCTTTCGGGTCACATCAAAGATTTGCCTATATCTATGGCCTCTAGAGTTATGTCAGGCCCTCATGGGTTATTCTGGCTTCAGAACTGACCAACCAATTATTCTTTCCAAGCCACGTTTTAACCTTGTAAATTGTTCGCTTACTAACCTTGACTGTTTTTATACGAGTGTACGTATG